AATTTGCTTTTTCGTCGGGGTTCATTTTCGTTTTGTACTTGCAGCCGAGCAGAAGTGTAAGAGAACAGAAGCGCGGGTGGAGCACGAACGTATTTCTCATAAACTTGTAAAATATAGATTGCACATCGAATCGAATCGTACATCGAATTGAAGCGTACAGCGTACAGCGAACCATCAAAGGAGGAGAAGGAGCTGGGTGTAAGCTAATAGAAAGAGCTATTTGGTGGTCGTGCAACCCAACTGTGTCTTAAATGACCAAGAACGAACCTGAGTCAATGTCTGTGGCTGTGAGCATTTTAGTTCCAGAACATAATGCCGTACAGTATGCGTTAAAAAAGGGGAACTGTGCCGAACTTGGACTTACCAGAGCAAAGTATCGGGCCATAGTTGCTTTAGTCTTTAAATCATTTATCTATGTTTCCCATCCTACCGTATAGCAACGTAAAGGCTCAGCTTATCATTGGTTTAGACAATATCAAAATAACTGCACTCCTGGAGATAGGAGAAGTATAACCACTGAAAGAGTTCATCATGAACACGATGCATGACTACAAGCAGAAGGGGGAATTATCCGCCTGCTGAAGGATAGTGAGTTAGTAGCTAGCAAGACATCGTGGTTTCATCCTATCTTTACAGTCACCAATGCGAACAAGAAAATGACGCGCTTAAGGCACACAAGTTTTTCTGGCGTGATGGAGATGTGATGAGGAGGAGGAGCGTGGTCATGTCTATTTTCGACCCGTTTGGGCTGCTAGGATTCTGTAAAATGTGTGTCAAGATCGTCCTTCATAACATATAACGCTCCAACATCGAATGGGATGGCGATCTCACCAACGAAGACGAAGGCTAGATTTATTTTCAAAGTTGATTGCTATCCGCATTCCATGGTGTATGAAGTGGATGAGCCGATCCCAGACTGTTCAGATGCATATATTCGTGGACGTCATTATTAATGCTTACGCTACAGCTGTATTTTTCCGGGCTAAACTTGATGGCCAAGTACATTGCAGTTTGGCAGCCTTGAAAAGGAGAGTAGCACCCTTGAAGCCCGTGTCCATACCTCGCATGGAACTGATGGCCGCAGTCTTAGGTCTAAGACTGGCCAAATGCATCCAAAAGGAAATGTCGGTACGCATACATAGGCGAACATTCTGGACGGATTTAAAAGATGTGCTCTACTGGATCTGGTTCGATTATCGAAAGTTCCAACAATTCGTAGCACTTCCCAACGCATCTATTTTAGAAGAATCAGATTTGGACAGCTGGCGTTGGGTCCCATCAGCTTCAAACGTAGCAGACGATAGCACGAAATTCATAGCTCAACCAGGTGGTTCAATGGACCACCATTTTTGTATCTAGAAAAATCGCAGTGGCCACATACGGAAATAGGCTCTACAATAAGCATGTTGTATCATGCTGAAGAACAACCCAATTAACAACGGATCTGCAGCGCTTCAACAAACTAGAGAAATTGAGAGCCGTACAGCTATGCGTACTGGATTTCCATCTGATTGTTACTAAGAAGATCAGATTGGACAGAGGACTAGAGCTGCAGAAGATGATGCTCCTTAAGCGCAGCAATGAAATGGATGTGATTTTTATTTGGATATGCCAAGAAGAGGAGTTTTATAGTGAAAGTACCCTCTTAAAGTCGGGGCGCCGTTTTACCAACCGCAGAAGCCTGCTCTTCATAGATAACCCTTCTTATATAGATGACCCTAGCATTATACGTATTAAGGTAAGGATAGGCAATATAGACGGAAATGGAGTCTGCGTAAAACGCCCGATAATTCTGCCAAGACGATATAAATTGACGTATCTGCTGGGTCAGTTTTATCACCGTAGATATGCGAAACGAAATCTTCGTAAGTGAACTGTGTCAGCGGTACTGGGCTTGTGGCTTGCGAGCTTTGGTGAGATAAGTCTCCAATGCTTGCCCAGCGTGCCGCATACGACGCGCCCGCCCACATTCGCTAGAGATGGGCGACCTGCCAATTGGACGATTATTGCTCTTTACTCTACCGTTCACATATACTGGAGTGAATAACTTGGGACCCTACGACATTGTCGTTGCACGGCGTCTCGAGAAGCGCTGGGGTGTGCTGATTACATGCCTTACGGTGCGCGCCGTTCACCTAGATATAGTAAGAGAGTAAGATATACATTTGATTTGTGTAGTAGAACGGTATCGCTGTCTTTTTATTCGCTCACACTACGGGAAACTGCTTTGACTTACTCTCTTCCATATGATTTGTGCTATAGAAAATTATCGTTGTTTTTATCTCGCTTCCACAACAGGAAACTGCTTTGGCTTACTCTCCGTGCTCGAAATCGTGTGTGTATGTGTCCGCACATGCAAAAATGCGCACAAATTCAATTATTGCCATATGTCTTCCTTTCTGAAGGGACGAGTAATATGAAATAATGCATTTTATCAGTTTTTTGACTTGCTATTCACGCACACTTGCTTATTTTGTATCCGAGGTGTGCTCTACAAAGTAAATACTGTCGGAGATTCTGAAGCACTCTGGGCTACGAGAGAGGTGCGTACGGCGTACAGCGAACCATCAAAACCGTTGTTACTTTTCGACGCTAGAAATTCCTGGCAAATAGTCATTATATTATTGAAATTGTCGTCTTGATAATATACGAATATTTTAAAAATAATATATAGGCATAATTGCAAATTTCATCAAGATCGGTTAAGAAAAACAGAAGTTGTTAAAGAAAACATGTTCTTATATTGCCATATCTATCCCTATGTATGAACGCAAGGATCTCATAACCTATAAGAGATAGACACTTGAAATTTTAGATGTAGGTGCTCCTAGTGCCTGTGCAGATCGAGTTTGTTTCCGATAATCGATAACTTACTCCGTTTCCAAGCAATCGATAAAAATCGATATCGTTATTCTGTTTTTTGGGAAATTTTGGTAAATAATAAGAGCTAGAGTCACCAAACTTGACATATAGCTTCTAAAACAGAATATATATATGCATTTGATGCTGGAAGAAGAGGGTTCAGGGTATCCCCTGATCGGGAGCTCCCGACTAGAACCTCTTACTCGTTTTTACATCTATTTTTATTACTGCTCAAGCAAAAGAGCTCGTAGCTCGAGCTGCTTCTGGTCTTGGTAGTAGATTGATCATGGTTCCCCTAGAATTATCCCCCTTCCGAATTACTATCGTGGTAATGAGCCATATAAAATCGAACGACCTAAAATAAAAGTGCCCAAGTAACGGACGGAAAGTGCGTTTCGCAAAAGCTTTGAAATAATTTAAAGTTTAAGTAATAGGTGCGCTCGTTAAGCGAAAGTATCCGAATTCGATTTATATAAGTTTGATGTTGTAATATACATTGTTGTAATGACTTGAGACTTTACTAAATTGAGCATCTGAAGTCCATCATTTATATAATAATCTGCAAAATATTGTGTAATGTGAAGGAATCAAGAAGCCTGGGAGAAAATTAAAATAAACAAGTAAGACGTTTTAGTCGGGAGCTCCCGACTATTGTATACCCTGAACCCTCTTATACCAACATTAAAGGCAGTTCGCGCAACGCTCTCTTTTAAAGTAATAAAGAGATAGGTTCCCTTGGCAGGGTTCGAGCTCGCAACTGTCCGATTTACTTGCTGACGACTCTACTCAACAGTTTCCCCGGTAGTGCTCGATCTCGCGACTGAGCGCACCACTTGCTATTATGATAAAAAGGAACTAAAATAGCATTACAAAAAAAAAGGATTTACCATGCTGTTAGAATGCGAAGCAGACGCGCATGAATGTGTGTGTGTGTGTGTGTGTACAAGTATACAGAAATTCTAAAAGCTGATGCCCCATTCAATTGCGCAGTTGCATACAACTTTGTTTTTTTCTTAGCCGATTTTTTTAAATTTTCTACAGTATATCTTATTGTACCATAGAATATTTGTGTATTCTCAAAAAGTCAATTGCAGTTAAATTGTGGCTTAGGTTGGTTGGCAATAAAAGTTGGGTTATTAACTTGATTTATATATCTAGGGTGGTAGCGGGGAGGTGGCGATAGGTATAAAATGAAAGATACTTGACATATATATAATATTCTAGAAGCAACATATCATGTTTGGTGACTCTAGCTCTTATTATTTACCCAATTTGCTCAAAATACTGGATGTCGATATCGATTTTTATCGATTGCTTGGAAACGGAGTAAGTTATTGATTATCGGAAACAAACTCGATCTGCGCAGGCACTAGGAGCACCTACATCTAAAACTTCAAGGTCGGACGGACGGACGGGCGGACAGACAGACGGACGTGGCTAGATCGACTCGGCTATTGATGCTGATCAAGCATATATATACTTTATGGGGTCGGAGATAATTCCTTCTGCCTGTTACATACATTTGCATTTTGCACAAATACAATATACCCTTTTTACCCATTTTCAATGGGTTCAGGGTATAACAGGCCTTCAATTTAAGCGCGACAAATCAATTTTAATGTTATAGTAGATATTCACGGAATTTGCTAGTCGCTTAGAGTATAACCACTAACCATAGAACAATATTTTTGTCATGTAAACTGAAATTTTCACACAAAAACATTTTATTCTTTGTTCAATTCATTTAAGAGGTGTTTCACACTTTTCGAACAAATCCAATTCTCCTTGATAGACCTTAAATATATTTTCAATTTAAGCTCGAAACTGGTAGAGGCTTTCATCTTGAGCACTCCTAAATATACATATATGTATGTACATATGTATGTCTTACTTGTTTTTATAAGAATTCATATATTTAAGGTCGCTATCTGTAGAATTGCACAAACTTAAGTTCATTCCATTTAATAATGTTATAAAGGACCCGTTAAATACAACAAATGTTTTCTAGAGTATTACCTTTGCAGCTACCCAAGCAAAGAGACTTGCTTTATTTATTTTAATATAAACGTATGGTATTTATCCTACAATTGTATTTGTAACTTTCTATTATACTTGCAAACGACCTTTTCGGAGAACATCGCTATGCGCATTTCAATATTTGGTTTTTTATTTAAAGACAGACAGAAATGAAGCTTAAGCAAAGCAACAAGCAACAAAGATCTAAAAATGAATTATCTACAACACAAGTTTTTATTAGTTCTGTTTAAATTTAAATCGCTGCAAAATTATGATCAATCCCTAATAATAGTGTCAACCGTTTACTTGAAAAGTTTTGTAGTGATCAGCTTAGCAATTTTGCTAACATTTGTTTTTTACTGGGTTTTTTGTGTACCCATCAATTGGACTAAGGTATGTATGTACATACATACATATGTATGTATTTAACTCGATAAGGCTAATAAAAACTAAGATTGGGTATTTTATATTTCTCCGCTTCCAATGTTGATTTTCTCATATACATATGTATTTTCTCTGAAAAATGGCCATCGGTTTGTGTAAAAATCTTTCTGCAAACTGGTGTACTTGGTATCTCCAGATAAAAATGATTTTGCTCTAATAAAGAGTTGTTAAGTCCTGAACCCATAAAAAATGGGTTTGTGCAAATATTATTACAAAGTAGAGGCACCCATTCGGAGCCCTTGAAGTATGTACATATACATACATATGTATGTTCGGCATCAAAACCATGCTCGAGTGTCTGTCCATCTATTCTTATGAAAGAACGCATCCATCTCAGCATCTATAAGATCAACACATTAAATTTGGAATGCTCAGGTTGTTAATGTGTTACCGATATTAAAATCCTGTTTTTTGTACTTTTTTATACTTTTTACATCATTTTAAGTCAAGGGGAACAACTGACTGTTTAATACTGGCTTACAGCACTAACCATACAATGCATAGATATACCAAACTGCATTTTAATCGTATCAAGATTTATCGCAACGAGTGAGCCCTACGGACGTCTGAGACCATTTTAGTGTGCCCAGTAGAGTAAAACTGCTGAGAGTGGCAGCCGAACGCCGGCTTCGAAAGCCTAACGTTCAGTATGAAGCCGCATCTCGCTCAGCGGACAATGTCGCTGCGGCTGATACTATTTTTACCCTGAACCCATTAAATAGGGTATATTGTATTTGTGCAAAATCCAAATGTATGTAGCAGGCAGAATGAAGCATCTCCAACTAGATAAAGTATATATATTCTTGATCAGCATCAATAGCCGAGTCGATTTAGCCATGTCCGTCTGTCTGTCCGTCCGTCCGTCCGTCAGTCTGTATGAACGCAAGGATCTCAGAACCTATAAGAGCTAGAGACTTGAAATTTTAGATGTAGGCCCTCCTAGTGCCTGCGCAGATCGAGTTTGTTTCCGATAATCGATACCTTACTCCTTTTCCAAATCAATATCAACATCCTGTTTTTTGAGCAAATTGGGTAAATAATAAGAGCTTGAGTCACCAAACATGATATGTTGCTTCTAGAATATATATATGTCAAGTATCTTTCATTTTATACCTATCGCCACCTCCCCGCTACCACCCTAGAGCTATAAATCAAGTTAATAGCCCCACTTGTATTGCCAACCAATTTAAGCCACAATTTAAATGCAATTGACTTTTTGAGAATACACAAATATTCTATGATACAATTAGATATACTGTAGAAAATTGCATTATGATCAGTTAAGAAAAAACCAATGTTATATGTAACTGCGCAATTGGATGGGGCAGCTAGCGAATACTTCAAGAATTTCTGTATTCATCGGGAGCTCCCGACTAGAACCTCTTCCTCGTTTTAAAATATATGTATGATAGTTTTAAATCCTTACAGCCCAAAAACATATGTGTGTATGCATGTGCCTCGCTCTCACTCATTGCTTTGTGCACTTGTGTGCATCTCTTTCTCCCTGCATAGCTTCCCACAAAACCCCGAGATCTACAAATATACATATGTTTGTTTTGTCTGGATGTGCGCACAAGTAGATCACTTCAATTGTGTGCCTATTGTGCCTGTGGTCGCAAAAGGTACTCACATTCAAATACTCTATCATGTATTTTTTCGTCCAGTCATTCATAATCAGAAGAAGCTGATTTATATTTATTAAATAAACAATTAATTGACCTGAATGAAATATTTATATTTATTTTCTGTTTACTGTTGGGACCTATTTAACTTACCCTTACAACGAGCATGGAAAATATAAATGAACAGGCCAAACCCTTTGATAATATCACAGAACTGCTTACTTGAAAGAATGTGCGTCAATTTTTATTTTTTTCTTTAAATTCTTCAACAAGCCGACGATGAACCAGTCTTGCAGAAATACGACTTAGATATTTTTGTATTTTAAGCAAAATAGGTCCCTACAGTAAAAAGCAAATAAATATAAATATTTGGTTTAAGTCAATTAATTGTGTATTAAATAAAATTAGATCAAATTCTTCTCATTATTCCTGACAGGACGAAGAATTACATGATTTGAATGTGTGTGCCTATTGCTACCACAGGCAAAAAACGTACATAATTGAAGAAATAACCTCTGGCTCGCGAATAACGCCGTGATCTACTTGTGCGCGCACATTCACACAACACATATGTTTGTAGATCTCGGGGTTTTGAGGAAAGCTATGCAGGAAGAAAGAGATAAAGACAAGTGCGCAATGAGCTATAAGTGAGAGCGAGGCACACTCTGCACATGCAGAAACACATATGTTTTTGGGCTGTAAGGATTAAAAAATAGCATACATATATTTAAAAAAAAAACAACAGCCGCAGCGACGATGCGCGCTGAGCGAGATGCGGCTTCATTCTGAACGTGCGGCTTTCGAGGCCGGCGTTCGGCTGCCATTCTCAGCGGTCTTAATCTGTCTGGGACACTAAAATGGTCGCTGGCACCCTCGGGGTTCCCTCGTTGCAATTTATCGTCACCCGATAAAAAGGCTATTTGGTATGTCTATGCATTGAATTAGTGGTGATAGTCATATGTATGACTATCGATTTCCGATATGCCACGCCCTAATGAAAGTAGTTCAAATTGCATTCATCTTTTATTATTTTCACAGTCTATTCTAGCTTTTAAACTGTGAAAAGTATTGATTTCCTGATTCGCCACGCCCCAGTGGGTGTACCGATTGAATCTTAATACCTTTTCTATATAAACGATAATGTTACAGCCAATGGAAAATCTTGCAGAGCTCACAGCGTTAAGAAAAAGAGTACGCTTTTGGTTATGTATTTAGCGTTTGAAGTAAAAATAAACGATAAGCTGAGAATTTTGCACTTTAATGAATGGTATTGGCAATGAGCATTTGCATTTGGAAGGGACGCCTGTTTCGCCTTGTGAAGGTAAATATCTGTTGCCTACATATATGTAGATGAGAAAACCAGTAGAATTGCATATGGAAATTAATAATTTTTGGGACTAAATCGGCCATTGAGTTTGCTTGTTCAGTTACTCAGTCGAGACGATTCTAGAATAGAATATGTATGGTCTGTTACGAGTTCGAATACGACTATCACATCTGAACCTGTGTAGATAAGAAAATTTTTTCCTTATTTTGTATCTAGAATATATAGTCGATCAGAAGTTGTTATACTTTGAAAGCTTCTCTAAATAGAATAATGTTGCATGGCGTGAGCATGAAAGTTGCCAATTAAATAATCTTCGAAGGTTTTTGGTTTTTTTTTGGATCGTCATTATTTGTTTGATTAAAGAAACATGGTGCAATTCATTCATGCCTGTTATGATACCAGCTATGTTTATCTAATTCCGCATGTGTGATTTGTGTATTGTTTTGGTTACTAGTGATCGATTGCGATCGAGAGTATATCGATTTTCGTTGTTGTATTAGGCATCTAGACGCGACATTACACTTCGTCAACGCAACATGTTGTATTTGGTGAAGTCTCACGAATACCTGCGATGACGGCATGGTAGCATAGTCTTGCTGAAGTTGGCTGGGGTGGTAGCTTGGACATTCATCACCATCCAGTGGCAAGTTTAGCAAGGCATATTATCTTTAACTTATCGAGCTTTACAAGAATGGCTTTAAGGAAAAAACGTGCACTTGATCTAAATATTTGGAATCCGTATATATGATGATGGCTGCATATTTCTTGCGTCACCCATCCCTTTTAAGGAAACCAACATTCCAGCTACTTGAGGAAATAGCATATTGACAAATACAGAATTTACATTCCCAATCCCTGCAACTCCTGCATTTTTGTCGTTGGTTCATAATTTTCGGATAATCTTTTAATTCATATCCACAGATATGAATTTAAAAAATATCTTTGTCAAAATTAAAATTAAATAAAATAAAATAATAAATGCAGATACTCGACTTTTACAACATGTCTTTTATCTGGAAAGCAATAGCTAGATGCCTCACATTATTCTCTGGGGATAAAAGTGAAAGATTTCTATATGCGAAACACACCCCTGCGCCCAATTCACTATTATAGGTATAAGTAGGTGAAGCTCGGTTATTATCAACGATCACAGAACAACTTCGGCTACAGGCCGTATATTGGGCAACAACAGACTCCATTCAATCAACACCGTCACCCGCTACCAATAGGTCCACCAAATCAGACAGCAATAGAGTTATACCAAAGACAATATAAACACTAAGATGAGTAACGCCATACAACAAAATGCTACTATGCAGCTTGATTTTTGAAAATTGAGAACGAAAACGAAATCTGTAGCATTGCGCTATCACAGCCGAGAGAACGAAAAAGCTAAAAATAGAATGTGCTCTCAGCTTCGGCTCTATGAGGGCCGTGCAAGCAATTATGTTTGTATGCGCGTGAATATACATACATAGAAGCATATTTGAATGTGTTGCTTTCCACTGCTCTGGCAGTCTCTGGCTGGCAAAGAAACAATTTTCGTAGTTTTTAAGCACAGATCACGGCCTACCCAAAATATCTGTTGATATATGAATGCATTTTGTGTACTGAGGTTGGCTCCGTACAAAATATGTATTTTTAAGTCGATGCAAATATTTATGTAATTTTTTATATTTGAAATTATTAATTAAATTATTATTATTTTTAAGTAATACAAAAAAATTAAGGAAATAAAAGTGCAAATTTGTTGTTTTCAAAGATACATTTCGAATTATAAAGAACAAAGTCGCCGCTCGAATTAGCTACCGATGCAAAATCGGTACCCAGGGAACACCGCGAGGAGGCCATTATAATTATAATGGGGTCATAACTAAATATGACCTTCGAGTCGACTTGAAATTGTAGTGGCGCTTGAAGCAAGAACAATTTGTTTGAGTTTAAATAAACAGCCCAAAAATAGACAATGTAAATCCAGCCAACGTCTTGTACCTTGCTTC